GAATGAGTGAGGCATCTTGAGGACTGAGAGAGATTGAGATCAGGTCACAGCGAAAACGAGCAAGACGTTCGCCTACCGTCAACGAAAGCTTGAAAACTAGACCGGCAACTCTCGGCAACATACACAGAGGACTAGAATGCGTGGGAACGGTACTGTACAGTTACACAGCCACTTTTTCCGCACACACACATTTCGTCGAGTTTGGATAATCCCCTGTCGTTCTCAATCTCCTCAAGACAAAAATGCCTAGGTACCTGCTGTCACGTCGTCCAGAGAATATCCATGGTGTTAATGTTCGTTTTGCAGGGCTCCACGGAACCACAGCAAAACGTAAGAACTGTTCAATATCTTCAAGATCCACTTCGTGTGGAGGGTTGCAATTGTGCTAATAAAGCCTTGCCCCATTATAACCTGTATCATACAGTTACAAGGTCCCTCGTCGACCTTTTGAATCAGCTCGTCTCGATGCTGAGCTGAAGGTGCGTTTCGTATATTCATCGGACAAAATCTGTGTTCAAGAGTTTCTAGCTGGCCGGCGAGTACGGTCTCCGTAACAAGCGTGAAATCTGGCGTATCGGTCTTATTCTATCCAAAATCCGTCGTGCAGCTCGTGAGCTACTCAAACTCGACCCCAAGGACCCCAAGCGACTTTTCGAGGGTAATGCTCTGATTCGTCGTCTTGTTCGAATCGGTGTGCTCGATGAGACTCGTATGCGTCTTGATTACGTGTTGGCTTTGAAGGTCGAAGACTTCTTGGAGAGACGTTTGCAGACACAAGTTTTTAAGAGCGGTCTTGCTAAATCTATCCACCACGCCCGTGTTCTTATCAGGCAACGTCACATCCGGTACGTGTCAAATATGACCCCAGTCGTATTAATTCTAAAAGAAACGCCGTATAGGGTTGGAAAACAAATTGTCAACGTTCCTTCCTTCGTCGTTCGTCTTGACTCCCAAAAACATATTGACTTTGCCCTCACTTCACCGTACGGTGGAGGTCGTCCTGGACGTGTCAAGCGCAAGCGTGCTGCCGCTGCTGCTAAGAAAGAAGAAGGCGGTGACGAGGAAGAAGAAGAGTAGATTACATGAACTAATGCATCGTTGTATCTTTTTGTTTATGTCATCATGCTGCTCTCAATTATGCTTATGGTGCATGCTTTCTTTGTCGTGTGGCACATTCCTCGTCGGTATTGTATTAATAATCAACAGGAAATCTAACTTCGTATGTCATTATTATACTGCTACGCTGGGGATGCTCAGTCCTCTTCCGGCACGTTCTAAGTGATCATCCTTCAACATGTAAGCTGGATGATATTGGGGAGGTAAGGAAAATGCTGCTGGATGATCATTACCATTGGGCGCTTCATCAGACTTTGTATGTGTCGAGGAGATATAGGTTGAAAGTACATCGGTAGGAGACAGCGCATCTAGCTGAGGAGTAGCGTGTGTGTTAGACATCACGGTAGCGAGTGCAGTCGTTGGTGAAATTATCGATGACGCAGAAGGAAGCGGTGGTGTGTTTGGGTTTTCCGAAGGCGTCACAAGTAAAGCAGGATTTGGAAAGGTGTTGTAAGTGGATCCAAGAGACGTGTAGCTATTTTCGCGGAAAACATTACCATGTGAATATCAAAACCAAGAAAGTTCGAAACATACCCCTCGTCATAAAGTTTACAGTACGGAATATTTAGCTGGCGTAGGAATGACCATACATTAGCATAAGTCCACTTGATTATTGGATTTATGCGGTCAAATCTGGGCCATCCTTCATCGGTAGGACATCGAGATGATATCCTATCTACATTATTAGCGTCAACGTGGGTTTCATGGTAAATGGGAAAGTGTTTATACCACCGTGCGGATCGGTACGCCTGGTACCGATTAGAATGCCATTGATATGTGGGAATCGGACCTTGTACATTTCCAAAGCCTGACGCATACCTTCTCCACCCTTGGCTTTTCCAACTCCCCGAGGACCTGGTAATGGGTGCAAATAATCGCGACCCTTGGTAATGGCACTGGCGGCAGGTGTGACCACAGTCTCTATAGAGTCCTCTTGAGGTGGTCTACAGTAGAATAGGTCCAGGTTGTAGTCTTTCGCTGCGTCCTGGATGAAATACTCCAAGACAGGGAATGGAGAAGGAACACCGATATATATCGCTGGTATTGGCGATGTATATTCAGAGGCTGGGCGTCTTTTACCTAGTGCACCGGCAAAGAGATGCAATAGGACAGTGCCTTATGAAGAGTGATCAGCGATAAGCAGCATCCATCTGGGAAGTACAACCAAGAGAAATACATACAATCTTTACCTCCGTTGAAGCTGATCGAGACCCGATTCTCCCTAATGGTCTGTGGTCATATAACATAACAATATTCAACCCATATTCATTACCCACCCGCAGGCATCGAGTCCTTCGTCGATTACATCTAAAGCTTCCTTAACCAAAGGTGCAAGAGGATCATCAGAGGCTGCAAGGTCATACACCTGCTTTGCTACTTCCTGTATATGTATCATGGAGGAAACACGAAGAAAGGCTTTAAGGGGAATTGGAAAGCAGGTGGGGTAGGTAATATGAGGTCAAGGCTCAAGACGGAATTAGATTTACTCGGAGTTACACTCGGGCACACGTGCCGAAACTTCAATTTCTGTCTTCCATCCATCATTATCTTTCACGTCGGAATATGTCTACGGTAATCCTTGTCACAGGAGGAACAGGTCTCGTTGGAAAAGCCATAGAATATGTCATTGAGAACGAGCCGGCTGGTTCTCGGTTTGGCAAACGGCCGAACGAGAAATGGATTTTTGCTAGCTCATCCGAGGCAGATCTGAGGTGATCAAAGCTTTGAACTACTGTTCATGAAGATTGAAAACACCTATTCTGTATAGAGATCCTGCACAGACGCGTAAATTGTACGAGAAATACCAGCCTACTCATGTAATCCACTTGGCTGCACTTGGTGCGCAGTAGTCCATCATTCGTGCATGTCCTAGGGCTTCACAATAATCCTTACAGTCGGCGGTCTCTTCAAGAACATGAAATACAAGGTTTGTCTTGTAAATATTAATACGATCATCGTATCCTGATCTATCGTCTTCCCATCGCAGTTGACTTTCCTTCGAGAGAACATCCTCATCAATGACAACGTCCTACACGCCTCTTACGAACACAAGACTCAGAAACTCATCTCCTGTCTATCTACCTGTGTTTTCCCGGACAAAGTCGAATATCCGCTGACCGAGCTCAATATTCACAATGGCCCACCACATGAGAGTAACTTTGGCTACGCCCATGCTAAACGCATGGTGGATGTTCAAAACCAGTCCGTCTTGCTTCTTCCAAACATTGAGCGTGATACTGAATGACGGCAGTGCTTACAAGGAAGAGTTCGGATGCAACTTCAGCTCCGCAATTCCTACTAATGTCTTTGGGCCTCACGACAACTAGTACTGTCATTTTTTCTTGGGCGAGTCTAGTTCTCAGATCCAACAATCACAGTGACCTTGAAGACTCGCACGTCATTCCTGGCCTTATCCACAAGTGCTACCTTGCCAAAAGTGTGTTAAAACCGCTCGCACTGTCAATTGTCTGATTTGAATCTGATGGTCCAGAGAACAACACTCCCTTCGTTGTCTCTGGGACCGGCAAGCCTCTTCGTCAATTTATATACTCTCGCGACTTGGCGAAGTTGTTCATCTGGCAACTCAGGGAATACGACGATGTTGAGCCCGTAATTCTTTCAGGCAGGTGATCCTCTTGCGCCGGAGTTAATCTATCTCATCCCTCCATTGATCCATATAGTCGGTGAAGATGAGGAGGTAAGCATTAAAGAAGTGGCGGATGCCATTGTCAAAGCTGTTGGATTCCAAGGCTCATATACCGTAAGTCTTACTGAATGTCACTGGTCATTCTTATCATCTCTTTATATCCTCCAGTTCGATACCACTCGCGCCGATGGTCAATACCGAAAACCTGCATCCAATAAAAAGCTGTTATCCCTCATTGGAGATTTTAAATTTACGCCTTTCGAAGAGGGTGCGTACATTCATTGTTCGAGTTATGCCTACGTTCATGTGTGTTCTTTTAGCTTTGAATGAATCAGTCAAGTGGTTCTTGGAAAATTACGATAACGCCCGGATTGGAAAGGTTCCATCTGCCTAGGTTCGAAGTTGGTAATCCACATCAATTTTGGAACACCTTCACGTCGAGTAATTAGACGTCAATATCCTCCTTTTTTTAGTGACAACGATGATACAGGATAAATCTGTGGAATTGAGGAGTCAACAGATGACATATTGTAATTGATAGGCCGCAGATTTTATCGCATATATACAGAATTTCAAGAAGAAATTCATGGGCAACTTATTGATTGTCGTGATGTGTAAAAGGTACTAAGACGAGTGGCTCTGCGTTGGGCTAAACTGCATTGATACGGGTCCATGAATGTTATTTGATCAAAATTGTACATTTTTTGACTACCATACCAAGTATTTCTGTGAGCCGTAAGTAACCCTGTCATGTAAAGTCTACGAAGACTGGACATATGTCAAAAACAGACATACCCTGTATGTGCCCCTTAGAAATCTGACACTCTCCCCTTAAAGCTCCAATCTCCTTCACTCTCTTTACCCCATTTTCCAACCGGTTCAGTTTTGGGACCACCTCGTTCACCAGTTATTGGATTAATATTAACATCTCCGTCTGTATTCACGGTACTTGGAGGAGGTGGGGCAGTAGACAAAGCAGGGTTGGGAAGGTTTTCAGATTGCTTCTGAAGCTCCTCGAATTCCAACTGTAATTCTCGAGGAAGCTGAGGAGGAGATGGGCGAGAAAAAGAGTTGTCACTGATGCATCTAGCGTTTATAGAGCGACGAACAAGGAAGATTGTCCTTGTTGCTTTTGCAAGCGGCGACAACATGATGAAGGTTGAATGGCAAGAGGCCAATTGCCTTTTTGATACTGCAGCCCTCTGCGAATATGTTCTCGAGTTGAAGGATTTTACATTCCAATGTGGTGTAGTGGTTAACATTGCTGTCTTTCATGTTAAATTAATGTTCACAGCAGCCCGGGGTTCGATTCCCCGCATTGGAATCTATTTTGAAAAGATTTTTCATTTTTGAAGTTAGTGAAATGACTGATTGCATGCAGTCTTCATCTATATAACAACTGATGATGAGCCGAGGCGCAAGATTATCAGCAAAAGCACAAACCGCTCATGCGGCTTACATTTGGATTTGTAGAACAAACACATCACTTAATTAAATCATTGATTGCTCATTTACTACGAGAATTCATACACAAGCGTGCTTTTCTTTATACCGAATGAAGTCACCATTAGAATTCGAAAAGAGTAATATTATTGAAGGCTTGCGTGCAGTGTGCGTTGCAGCTTGCTCGTCTCACCGTGTAAGATCGACCATTGAAATATCCCTTTTGAGCTGGTCACCTTGTTTTCCAGGCTCTCGTCCTGTGTGCCCTTTTTGCTCCTTCGACGCCCGCCACAACTCTGCCATCTCCATAAATCGATTGTTATTCAGTTCTACGGAGGCAACGATCGATGATGGCCATCGAGGGGAGGAAATAGATGGAGCAGAAGTTGAAGTGCTTGCAGAGGCGATGGAGGTTGAAGATGACAGACTTTTGCTGTAAATCAACATGTATGGTACCGATTCTGTGGAGGGAGATAGGGACGATGCCAAGGAGAGAACGACTTCTTCGGGTACCTATATATTTTGCGAGTACATAAAACCATGAGAAAAAAAACACAAGCCAATCAGGTTCTTACCTCTTCCACGTAAGCCCTCGCAGAGGTAGACGCGGGTGACTTCCACCACCGGGTCCTGTTTTTGGAAAGCTCGTCTGGGCCAACGTTTGTCATGATCAAGTCGTCTCGGATATCCCGGATGTACACGAACGGCTCGTCCCGTCCTCGCTCTAGTTTCGAAGCTTGAGATCGTGTTTGCTTTGAGGTAGATGTGTTAGGGACTTGAGAAAGAGTGTGAAGTTCAGAGACTGTGGGATGTGATGTAATGGAAGTTGCAGATGGCATAGGTTGCATGAGGACTGCGCGGAGGTCGTACTGTAATTATTGTAATATCAGTCAGTTGTATACGAAGTCAAAAAAAAACGACTGGGAATGGAACGTTTGCGAACAACAAACTCACTTGGTGCTTCTTCAGCTCCTCTTCCTCGAACAACGTCGTCATTTGAGCTTTTGCAGCGCTGATTTTAGCGTCAAGATCTACAGAGTTATAGGAAAAACGATGAAATTGATGTAAAACTATATCGCAGCCTGACACAACTACCTTTCAAAGTCTTCTCGATTCCCTCCAATGTTGCTCTCAAACTCTTCTCAACTTCCTCCACTGTCCGTTTTCTTTCCATTGCTCCTATCTCCGTACCATCCTCACCTTCAGAACGGTTCGCAACGTGCTCATAATAGTACAGAGTAGAACGGATGGAGGGAAGTACGCCCTGATCTTGAGAGTTGTGACTGAGGGACTCTGGAATGGGAGCAGATGCTGATGTAGATGTAGAGGATGTAGACGCAAATTCCTATATAAATGTATGGGCAATTGAGCATTAGCGATTCCACAAACCACTACCGAAAACATAGCCGGCCAACCTTTCCTATCAATTTTCCTCTAGCCTCCTCATGATCTCTCAGTTCTTTTGCTAGTCTCTCTCTCTCCATACGTTTGGAATGAACAAGGGGAAAGTTAGAGAGTAAGAAAGGGTCGATGTACAGGGAAGAAGGATAAGTGAAACGTGACGATGGAGGAGTTGCGGAGGAGGAGGCGTTATGCAAAGGTACCGCGAACGATACTGGAGTAGACGTGGATGATACAAGCGCAGGGTCTGGCGAAGTGAGGATAAACGCGACGACATCGGATGGAGTAGAAATGACAGTATCGGTTGATCCACTTGGTTCACCTTGTATATCAAGCACAGGCTTCGAGAGGTCTCGAGCGAGACGCGTCACAAGATCGTTTCCAAGGGGCTCTCCGGGTGGCCCACTACAAGGAGGCGAGGGATCTAACGCGACATACGTATGATTCGACATCAGGCCCATTTGAGGCTCTTCGTGTTGACTAGGATCAATACTCACTTGTGCCGACGTAAACGTGAGCAGCGGCGTATCCGTTTGTGAGGCTACGGCAGCTTCAAAGATCCCTGCGAGAACTTCATACAAATCCTTCGTCGTGTCCGATATCGCAGCTGTAGCTGTCATCGGCCATATATTCAGAGCCTTACAGACACCGTCGCAGTCTAGTCGAGCTAGTTTGGCAAGGTCGAGATTTCCGAAGAGCTCAATGATGAGAGAAAGATCACTGTCCACTGGAAGTGAAGAAATGGGAACATTCGCAAGCCTATCGCGAACCTGTGGAACGTGGAATAGTGCTTGAAGTAATAGTACGGCATAAGAGGTCTCTGGTGTGGGCGAAAGGAGAGATATCGGTCTGGTAGAGGAGGGATCATTCGTATCAAGGCCCAACGAAGGGTATCATTGATATATACATTCGGATCTCACCTTCCATCTTTCCGAATGAGCTCTTCAAAGTCCTCCACTTGCTCGTCATCGTTCTCCATTACCATTTCCTTATCGCGCGCCCCCGACCTCTCTCGCTCTTCCGCGTATACAGGAAAACCTTCCTGTATACCTTCCATACTCAACTCTAATGCCCTTTTCATCTCAAGGTCGTCGTCATCATCCACGACCATTCTATTATCGTCTCTTGTCAAATCAATCAGATTTGGGATATCTGGCGTGTTGTGTCGCGCACCGGGTGTTTTGATTATTGGAACCAGTGCATTCGACGTCGAACTACTTCCAGTGTCTTGAACCCAGCCTGAGCCTTCAGTAAGCAGCACTTCAGCGGCCTTATCTGCATTTCTACCGTTCAATCGATATACTGAGAGCACGCTGTCTGCCTGGTCCTCCGTCCCACCAATCATAGCAAGCAAAGTGGAGACGATTTCCCTTTCTTCTGGCGTTGCAGAGCCAGGTTTTGCAGTCCAAGCCGTCATCTTTGGTTGATTTGTTAGTGTTCAACGCGGAAGGGTAACACTTTCGTAGGTCGTATACTAGAAGTGAACAATCAGGATTTTCCCGCGCTTGCTTGGACCGTGACCACGATACTAATGGATACTTTGCCGATTGAGATCCTCACCGTCGTACTTACCATTGTACTACAGGATACAAAGTCCAGCAATATCCTCTGCACATCCTCACTGTTTCGTTCTATCGCTCAGAGGATTCTACACCAAGATCTATGCTTCTATTCGTCTTCTCAGCTTACAAAGTTTGCACACGTCCTTTCTAAAGGAGGACTATATTTGGCCTGTGAGCCGCAGTCGCTTATGCTCGATATCGCAGGAGGCGCATCCTTCAAGATTTTTGAAGGACTGCACGCCGTGCTGACCCAAATTGTTTCCGATCCTCAATGCAAGAGGGACGAGAACGGACGATTGATATTGGAAACCTTAAGACTCAGGCTAAACTCCCTTACGCATGATGACCATCGTCTGATTTACACTTCTTTATCCAAGGTCAAGTAAGTGGACTTTACGAAGATGCTTGAATATGCCACAAATATATGTATACAATAGTGCAAGACACTTCATCTGGACAGGGCCTGACCCTCCGCATCATTTTTCTACTGCGGTTAGTTCTATTCAAGATCATCTTTACAATATACAAATGAAGGAGCGCTTTAGATCGTATCACCTGCTGTTTTTCCCTTATTCAAGGCTCTCGCCACCTATACCCGTCTCACGCATCTGCATCTTACCAACATTGCTTTCCCGAATTCAGTCATCAACTCAGATGCTCGTTGGACAGGCATTCCTTGCCTTCCCTCTCTCCACTTCCTTTATCTCGGTCAAGCGACGTTCTTGACCGCGGAACATATCACGGAGTTTGTCCTCCGATGTACTGGTCAACTGCGGAATTCTGCATGCACCAGCAAGCTCGAAGCGCACTCAGGTTATGTGCTTGAATGCATACGTTTAGTGGACGTATACGAAGAGAGCATCTGGGGTCCGAGATTAAAATTGCCGCATATACTTCTTGCTAGTGCTACACTCCTGGCAGAATCGGGATCTTCGAAGCTTTCGAGCTCGACAGTATCAGACTTGATTGAGAGGCTGGTACATGTGGATGCAAAGACGGAGAGAATTGTGGGAGGCGATCGAGCAATGCCTGAAGTATCGTCAACATAAATTTCTGTTTCAAGAAAGTCAGGGTATCGTATGAAGAAGAAAAGTTCCCATTATTCGAAAGTCTGGAGAGGCCTCCGAGCGCGTAAGATACATATTACATACCAGACAAAAAATTGAAAGCAAAATCCGATATTCAACCAAAGCATTATCCGTATGCCAAAAAATGATAAACAAACAAACCCCAAGGCAAATTCACATTACACCCCACTGTTGAGCCTGTCCGTGCGTAGCAAACATTGCTGGCTGTTGCTGCTGCTGTCCCCAGGATCCGTTTGTAGAAAACATTTGCGTCTGCTGCGGGGGCGGGGCACCGATGCTCATTCCAGCACCCATCCCCATTTGCAACTGTGGAGAAGACGACATGAACTGTCCCTGCAGCTGCGGTGTAGCTGACATCGGCGGCTGGGGTGCCGTGGGCATTTGTGGTTGAGGACTATGTCCTCCGTAGTGCATTGAATTAGCAAACTGGAGCTGACTCTGCTGTGGATTCAGATTCGAAATTTGGGGTGACGGCGAAAACATTGGTGCTGGCGACTGCAACGACTGCATCTGCATCATTGGCGAGGGCTGGGAGTAATATGGCTGTTGTTGTTGTACCATAAAAGGCGTCGAAAGGCCCGCCGGGACAGAACTCAATGCTGAAGGCGGGTAGTTGGCGGACATAGGTTGCTGTTGCGTGAAAGGATTCGTGGCCGAAAGCTGTGTTTGTTGGAAGGGGTTTGTGGAGGGTATTCCAGAAGGAAATGGTGAATTGTAGGCCGGACCTATTGCGGTACCCATGGGAAGTCCTGCGTTGATGGTAAGACCATTAGGACCTGTACCCATTCCCGTATTGGGAATGGCTAAATTGTAGCCCATTCCATTCATTG